TGCACACTTGGGATTAACAGCAAAAGCTCTCTTGAGTGATTTCAAGTATTGTCTTCTGCAATAATTAACAGTTTGGGATTTTTCAATTGCTTCTGAGTGCCATCACTAACATCAATAAAAGTATAGGTTTTGGTATGCCCAGGACCGTATGCAAGAAGAGTTCAGCTCTGTTGTGAAGTTGGTGAACCTGTGCCACTTTTGATTGGATCCCTCACACTCTTTTCTGGACTTCATCATTGTCCAGTGCTAGTGTTTGTGCTAAAGTGAGGCAGTTAATTCCACTTGGGTGTGGCTTCTATTGAAGAAATATGCCTGAAATTAAAAATGTGAGAGGTATAAATGTTCCCCTTACTCTGTCTACTGCAGTGGAATCTGCCTGACTCACACATGCATGCCTGTGGGCTAGTCTTGACAGTGTTTTCTTTGTGGCTTGCCTGCTGTCCACTGGGGAGCCCATGTTCCTTTCATTTTCATTCTTCTCTGACTACAGTGCTTTTGAACACAGAGCCCCCCATCCTCCCACCACCCGAACTCCACATTCCAGCTTCGTGATCTCATGGTGCCAGGCCTATCTCCCCTGCCATGCCGTCAGACCGCCTGCTGGCTCTTGCTGAGAATGACTACAACATAAACTCAGCGCAGAAGAGCAGGACGCTCTCTGTATATTTTTAAGACCAGGGATCCAGATCCCATTTAGAGGCTGTGTTTGTTTAATAGCCCCTTGAAAACTGAACAAAACATTTCTTGTTGCTCTTACTTCTTGGTAACATCATTCCATCTGCACTAATGTACAGAATCTCAGAAACCAGGGAATGGAAAAGATGTATTAGCTCATGGCTAACCCATTCCCACTGCTCATGAGACCTCTTTCCCACAGTCCATCCTCTTGTGCTTTTCTCTTCGAGTCTTCTCAAGAATTTATTTTCTCCAGTTCTCCTGGGGCACAGTTTCTGAGTTTGACCATAGAGGAATTTATGTGGAAATATTCATATTCTTTTTTTCAGCTCAATATTCCTGATCTCCCTTTATATTACCATAAACAGCCTCTCTTTTTCCTGGTTAAGTATTTCTGGATGGTATTTTCACTTCCATTTACCAAGTTCAGAGTTTGTTTCCCTGCTTTACTTTCCCTCTTCATCACTCAGCCCTGATGCCCATTAATCATCTCTCTGTGCTCTGAAACCCATTGCTTATTCCCATATCGGGGCGACTTCAGGTCCCTGGGTACTGGAGGAAGCTTCTCTAATACCTGTTTGTTTTCCCTCCCTCCCTCCCTCCCTCCCTCCCTCCCTCCCTCCCTCCCTCCCTCCCTCCCTCCCTCCCTCCATCTCTCTGTCCCTATTCTTCCCTTCCCTCTTTGCCCCTCTCCCAGTCTCTTCCCTTTCTCCCTCGTCACTTCCCTCAATTCTTAACTGGAAAATTTTCAGTACTGCTTATAGATTATGATTTGAAGAGTTCATCAAAAGGGTATGTGTGTGAGAAAGGGGGATGTGTGTGAGTTGTTTGATTATATTTGTTCATAATTACTTGAATGGCATTTTTCATATCCTCAGAGCTACAAATCTTTTGGACCCCCTGCTGACTGCTTGGATCAGATTCAATGCTGGACCGTGGAAATATGATGTAACATTCTATTTTGGCACTATCATCCTATTAGCCGAGAAAAACACAAACTATATTTGTAGAATTTGGAGTTCTTAGAGAAAGAGAAGAGAAAACTTTAAGTAGCCTTGACACTATTTAAAGTAGATTAGCTCTCAGGACCCATTGTTAGGTAACAGAGATAGAGATGTAGCATGTTGTGTGGTTCCCTATATTGGAGAGTCTAGAGTCATAAAGATGTCCATTCTGCCCCAACCAAGCTCTTTTCAGGTTCTAACCAGATTCCTCACACTCTCATATGGCAGAGATGACTTTCCAGAGCAAGGAGAAGAAACAGGCTTTTTCCATACATAGTGCTGGAATAATCAGATGTTCATAAAAAGAAAATCTAATGCTTACCTCATACATTATGTAAAACAAACAAAAACACTCCAAATGGATGCAGACCTAGATATGAAAGATGAATAAAGCATTATAGTGCACACATACAATTTATATAAATATACATACATATGTGTATGTGCATATGTCTTCAGGACCTTATAGTATTGAAAGATTGAAAAATGACAGGATTATTTTACCAAAAACAATAAGGTCTTAATCAATGATGCTAAAGAGAACATGATAGCTAGCTACAGTAGTTACCTTTCTGTTGCTATTCAGGTCTGCAGTCAAGTGCTTTATATTTATTTAACTACTAAAGAACTTCCCTTCATCAAAAGATAATAGGCAGAAGTAATCACATGCTCTGAGAATGTACTTTCTCTATGTGTAGTCAGCTATAGTATCTAGAATATAACAAATTCTTAAATAATGAAGACAACTTGCTGGGCTATGGTGTGAGCATGGGTGTGAGTTCTGTGGGTTGAATTGTGGGTCCCCAGTCTGCTGCCCCAGGGGCGGGTACTGTGGCTTAGGGAGGTGAGACACTGGAATTTGACCATGTTCACTCCACGCCACACTGGGTGGATGTCAGGCTATGAGAAGCCATGGGGGTAGAGGGCATAGAAAGGTGTTTGGCAGGAGATTAGATGGCCCCTCAGTAGTTGAAGATCTTCTCTGTGGTTCCCCACCGTGGGCCCCAAAGAGGAGAGGTAGTCCATGGTCTTAAAACATTTATTGTCATGGTGGAAAGTGAATAAAGCTATATCCTGTATTCTCAGGGCAGGCCTGAGGTTAAATACCTTTTGCAAGGAGGAGGAGGGTCTGGGAAGGAATGCTGTGTTAGCTACGCCATCTGGCCTTTAGGTATTTTATGAATATGGAGCTATCTTGAGGCTCTGAGGTCTGTAGTCATGCCCTCTACCTGTGCTACATGACTGATGGCCACAAACCTCTCTTTGGGAAGGGCTATAGGGGGCTATGGCTATGTGAAAGGAACCAGGGGACCCAAGAGCACCACCAAACTCCTACCGTCCCTTTAGGGTCTCCGGGGTTCAAGGCCTGCACTTGACCAGGTACCCAGCTGCCTCTCACAGCCCACTGCCCCACAACAACTCATCTAAATAAAGCACAGAATAGCTTGACCAGGCTTTTCACAGTAGAAGCAAAAGTAGACAATAATAGAAGAATATCAGTGTCTAATAATCAAGGAGATGAAGTTAAATTATAGTGAGACTCTGCCTGTGTTTGTTCTGTTAGCAGAAAAGACTAGAATAAGCAATACCTAATACTGATGGGAATCTGAAGTCACAGGAACTGGTGGTAGAGAGCAGATATGTTATATATTTGGAAATAGTTTACCAGGGTCCAGTGTATTTGAAGATGCCCATATATACTTCATGATTTTGCAAGTTTACACCTACATACAGAGTAACTTGGCAAGTGGCTCACACAGATATGTCTGTAACAATAGTTTTTACTTTTCTGTAACCATCTTGCAAATTTTCAGACCTACAGGAAAATGACAGAAGTATTTTAACAAAAGCAATGACGTCTTAATCAGTGATGTGAGGAGAACATGGTAGCTGGCAACAGTAGTGGATTTTCTGTTGCTATGATAAAGCAGCAGGATCGGAGCAACTTAAAGAAGACAGTTTATTTTGATTTGCCGCTCAGAGGTCTAAGTGTCCATCATGGCAGGAGGGCACAGCAGCCACAGCAAGAGCAGGAGAGGAGCCTGAGACCTTAACCACAAGCACAGAGCAGACAGAACAAACTGTAAGAGGGATGAGGCTGCATGATCTCAAAGCCCACCCCCAATGACACACTTCCTCCAGCATGGCTGCACCTCATAAGCCTCACCCAAACAGTGCCACCAACTGGGTGTTCAAATAGTAAACTAGCAAATGTGGGACTTTGAAATCCCACATCTGCCATTTCTTGCCATGTGACCATGGGCAAGCTGTTGATATCTGTGAGGTTCAGGTTCTCCTCTGCAAATGGAAGTAGTAATGAGCCTACTACATTGGGTACACAATTAACTGTGGTCCCGTATGTGAAGAATTGGGCATATGCTCCCAGCATAATTGTCTACTACATTATGGGCACCATTAAGATTTTCTTATGATGCTGACTAAAACAACAATATAAGTTTGATCGTTAGAATATTTAGTCTGAACATTTACTGCCGCATACTCAAAACTTTTTGATTTGTCACTATATAATACTAAATCATTCTGGAAAATAATTTTAGTCTAATTTAGTGTTTTCTCCTCATTTTTATAATAGCAGCACTAGAAAATATTATTCAAAGGGAAGACATGACTGTGATAAAAATATTTGTATAATTAAAAAATTATACAGACATTTAAATTTTTCTTAGTAAATTAAAACCATGAAAATAACTGTCTTTAAAATATTACAATGTATATCTTTTAATTCTAGCCCAAGATGCTGCCCATTAAATTACAGTATCAACAATAAGAAATAACTAAGTGACAGTATATTTTAGCCTAATATCGTGGCCTTCATTGTTTTGAACTAAAAAAGTGAAGTCACTCACAAAATCCTAAGGCTCACTTAATGTCTAATGACATGAAGTCTATGTGCGCCAGCATCATGGTGCCCACTGGGACCAAAGCTAAGCTTTTCCTCTTGGGAACTACTGTCCATTTACCTCATTTCTGGTTCATTCTGATTATGCCTATATTGCCACCTTGTACCTCATCTTTGCATGAATACAGCCTCTATCTTTAACTAGATTGCTGTCTTTTGGCCAAGCAGACCTTTTCCTAAGCATCTTTGTGCTCATACATTTTGGGGTTAAGAAAAACTATTTTTAATACCCCTTTGGATCTAGCAGTGCCCAGCATAGTGATTTACAAAGTGCACACAAGACAGTACAAGGTGATGGCCATCAGACTGGACTGTGCAGAATCAGGACAGTGAGCGGCACATAGAGTTCATGGATGCTGCCTCCAGAGCAACTGGCTATGCTTTTTTTTTCTTTGTTACAGAAGGAGAGTGGGGCGCGCGTGTTTTCTGGCATTCAGCCTACAGGAATCCTCCACCTGGGAAATTACCTTGGAGCCATTGAGAGCTGGGTGAAGTTACAAGAAGAGTATGACACAGTGATATACAGCATTGTGGACCTCCACTCCATCACTGTCCCCCAAGACCCCACCGTCCTGCAGCAGAGCATCCTGGACATGACTGCTGTGCTTCTTGCCTGTGGCATAAACCCAGAGAAAAGTATCCTTTTCCAGCAGTCTCAGGTCAGTGTCTCAGACCAGAGCCTAGAGGACTGGGTTTCTATACTGTTTGAAGCTCCTAGTTACAATCTTTTTTAATTATTCAAGGATGACTTCATCTAATGTAGTGTTTCCAGTTTGATATTTACTTACATTCATATCATTACATATCCTTGTATCTAATACTGATTTCCAGCTTTCTCCCACTGTACTTTACAGTCTCTCATCCACCCCACAGTTATGTTGCATTCCATCTTTGGACCCTGGGATTGTTTTCTGTGCTGATTGCATTCAGTCCAATGACTTCCCACGGCTGACTAAGCTTCCGGTGATCAGGAGTGAATTTTGTGGCCAATGATTTTTTTGTAATTCCAACGGCAGTTCATTGAGTACTGAATTTGGAAGGCCTCTTGGATAATTTCTGTTGTTCATTCTTTGTATAATGGCTTTTGAAAAGGTTTGATGAAACAAGCCAGGAAATAAGACAAAGTCCAAGAGTTTTGTGTATAAGCCAAGAAGGTCTTCGGAAAGCCAAAATAAATAAAGCCAAGATATTTGACTCATACCTTTACTATGGATGAGTCAGTTTTTCTTTAGACAGAAAGAGATCCTGGCCCAGAGACAGCAATTTAGAGACAGGCTAGCTAAGAAGATAAGAACTCCTACCGGATCACACCCTTGTTACATATCTGCTTTAACCTGCAGCAAAGCTTCAGTCATTGGATTCCCGTTCCTGCTCATGCACATCTTTCTACTGAATATATGTTTTAATATATATTTTTATTAACCCAGAACATACTGTAATGAATCACAGAGTAACCAGCTGAAAAGCATAGAAGTAAAATCCTTGCCTAGTATGCTCAGAGTTCTGAGTTGAATCCCCAGCAAGGCCAAGCACACACATATTAAACGCAGGATGCGTTTAAAAAATAAAGTCTTAAGTGTAAGCTTGTCATTCATATACATATGTGAAATAATGCCATCATTAAAAGAATCATACAGGCAACTGACCTGGATCTTCTCTACAGTTGATCAGAAGGCTTTTACTTACGATTCTTCAAGTTTGATGGTGGACAGATCTAAAGTATTTATCTAAATTGGGCAAATCTTGGCTTCTCAACAATTTCTGTGCATTCAGTAACTTTTGTTTTTTAAAAAGCAGCGATAGATGTCTGCACACCTGCTCACCATGTACTTGCACACATTTATTTTGTGCTGTTTTTATTCCATAGTTTTACTTTTAAACCATGTTTTACTTTTATTTTTCATATATGGATCTTTTGTCTGTGTGTTTTTCTGTGTACCATGTGCATGCAGTGCCTGTGGAGGCCAGCAGCGAAGACTGGATAGAACTGGAGTTAGAAATGGTTGTGAGCTGCCATGTGGGTGCTGAGAACAGAACCTGGTCCTCTGCAAGAGCAGACAGTGCTCTTTACCACTGTGTCATCCCCCTGCCCCAGTCTAACTGTCTTCAGGCAGCTGGTCCCCAGGCCTCTCCAGCTGTCTGTCATCCTACCTCAGAAGCACTTCACCTTCTTTCTAAAGGCCTGTGATGCTTGTGGTTCATGGTTCTGGCTCACTCCAGCCCCTGCCCCATCTCTGACACTGCAGAGCTGCTCATCCTCAAGGTACTTTCGAGTCACTTAACTGCATTTCTCAAAGCACATTGACTTCACCCCATCTAAGCTGCTTTGTATACAGCCAATCTTCTTTGATCCTTATTTAATGTTATTCCTAAAACTTGCATTCTCGGCCACAAGTTTCTAATGTCATATTTCTGGAGGTGAATATATCTACCCTTCCCAGAGTAACTGCTGGCCTGGTTACTTTTTGAAGTAATCTTTAAATTAAAGGCTATTTTGAAGCCTACATCCAAGAACTGTTACTTTCGGCTCATTCCTCCAAGGATAATCACCATGTGATATTATTTAACATCACATTAGCATGTTATAAATACTTCTTTCTAAAGACTTTTGACAGTGGCCTCTATAGGCACATAAACTATGCAATAACTGAGAGAACTTCTTTAGCCTATAACATTTAAGAACAAGTACCCCCACAGTATAATAGACTGTATGTACATTGTCCCATAAGTGAGAAATAAGAGTGGTCACCTTCTCTTTGGTGGTCCCCAGGTGACTAGTAAGCTAGGTCAGGGAGCAGGTAATGATGAGAGGGTCCGCCTGCCTCACCTTCCAACCTTAGCACTGCCACACTGCTTTGCCATCCTTGACATTGGCTCTGTTTTGATAGTTAGTCTAGTAAACGTTGAGGAATACACTCTGTTATGTATATTCCACAATTCTCCCCTCAAAACCCGTGTGCAAAGCTTCTTGGGTCGGGGGTCCTTATAGCTACAAGGCATACTTAGTCTTGGGAATTCCCTTCTGGTTTAACTTAGACAATCAAATTGTTCCAACTCTTTACATGAAAGGTCTCCCAGGCTTCTTCTCCTTTTTTTAATATTAAAAAAGAAAATACTGGAGGCTAGAGAGATGGCTCAGTGGTTAAGAGCACTTTTTTCCAGAGGTTCAATTCCCAGCAACCACATGGTGGTTCATAACTATCTGTAATGAGGATCTGATGCCCTCCTCTGGCATGCAGATGCACATGCAGATAGAGTGTACATTATACATATACATATACATATACATATACATATACATATACATATACATACATACATCTATCTTTAAAAAAAGGAAAAAAAAGAAAATATTGAGATGCTGTAGGAACAGGGAGGAGCAGGGCAAGAGCAGGGCAGTGTGCTGTGCTTTCACACTGTTAACATTCTGTTCGACTCCTCAGCATTGTTTTTAGTGAGTAACTGAAGGTAGCTATTGCGCATAATCGCATATTCTCTCCTTAAATGTTTCAGCGCTGCACCTCCGAATAAATTAAGAAAATGCTGTCTAGAATTACCATGCTATCTTTATACCTAATGAAGCTGATGATAAATATAATTAACATCTAATACTAAAATTATTTTGGGGTGATCTACTTAGGTCCACACATTGGGTTTTTTGTTTGTTGGGGTTTGTTTTGGACTGTGCACATGTGCATTTGAAGTGTGTGTTTGCGTGTGTTTGGAATGTGCATGTGTGTCTCCTTCCACCTTGGGTTCTGGTGATGGAACTCAGGTTGTCAGGCTTGTGTAATACGTGTCTTTATGTACTGAGCCATCTCACCAACCCTGCAGTAGGTCTCTTCAAGTTGTTCTTTATGTGTAACTATAAGTGTGCAGTCTGTCCCTTTGACTGACAAGTCCCCAGTTCCCCATACTGTCCCCTGATAACCACCTGCTTCTGAGTTCAGTTTCTAATGGCATTTGTTTTTCTATACTTGCGTTATTTTACTTAGCATACACTCTTCCAGTTTATCCACATTGTTGCAGATGACAGGGCTCCTTCTATTTAGAGACAGAATAATATTCTATAGTAGCTGTTATAGTCGTGGTGGCTTTTAGTCTGTTGATGGACATCTAAGATAGTTCCATATCCTACCTGTGGGCCTGCAGCTTGTAAAAGGTGCTGTGATAGGAGGGAGGGCAGAAACCTCCCATCACCCATGACATCCATGACATAGTGACGTCACAGCCCCGGGGAGTGCACCCACTGTGGGGCCATGAATGTATTTTATGGGCTCTCCTTTAGGTGCCTCTGTGCTGTTTTCAAGAGGGCTGGACTTTCCCACCACTCCCACTCATGATTTCCCTTTTCCAGAATTTTGCCAACATATGTAATCTCCTGACTCTTTGGTAGTAGCAGTTAAAGAGATCTAAGGAGATCAACCTGTGAAGTCTAAAATGAGTAACAAAATAACAGAAAGGGCCATCTTGTTAGATCTGTGGGAAGAGTGTAGAATCATGTTTATACAGTGATTGGGTGGAACTTTCCCCTGCCCTGCCTGCTGACCCTCCACATGCGTGCAGTCTCCTCAGGAGCTGGAGGCAGATGGCCAGTGGGCAACTCGCGTTAGGCTTTGGCTCTCCTCTCACAGAGTGGCAGGCCATCACCACATGGTAGCTGCAGGCATCTTTCTACTAGGTAGAACAGAGCTGCTTTCCTGCCCTGAGGCTAAGCTCTACCCCTATTTAGCTAGAAAAGCTTTTATCAGTGAGCCTTGGAGGACACACATTAGCCTTTCTGTTACACAGCCAGAGTGACATCAACTTATACCAGAGTGATGTCGACTCAATTTCAGTTTATTTTGTGTCCTGTGCTCTGATTGACTTTCACTAAAAACTGTCAGAAGCACATATTGAATTTTTTTTAATTTTGAGAAATTTTAATAAGTCAATTGCTAATATAGAAGACAGGTAATATATGTGTCATTTACCTACATAATTAAGTGGTTTTTGTTGTTGTTGTTCCCTTTATCTTGGCAGCTTTGTAGTTTGTAAGCATTTGATTGATAAATCTATAACAGAAAGAATATAAATTTATTAAATAATTATCAAGCTTTGAGAACTGAAGCCAATTAAGATAATTAATGCCTGATACCTGCATATGGTTATTCACAAATAGAATTAATAGTTTTTGAAATTGAGAGTTAGAGAAGAATATTTTTCCTCCCATAGAATGTGTTCTTGGGTATAGCCATTGGGTGATGATTTTCCCATGTGCCCTGGTTGTGCATTAGAAAAGGCCCTAATAATCATTTAAAGTGGGGAAGGAATTCAGCTATGTTATAACGCTGATTTTACCAATAATTTTCATCTGCAGTTCTTTGCATTCTTTCTCAGCAGCCTGACTGGAACAGTTTAGGCGTATTGAAGATTTTCCCCATTATTTTCTTTTTCTTCCTCTCCCACTGGCCTGTACTCACAGTGCTTCCCCTAAATATGCTTGCCATATGTGGGGAGCTTTCAGACCTCATCTGAAAGTGTACACATGAGTGTGTATGTGCACATGAATATGTCTACACACACATTTTGTGCTAGAGAAGGGTGAGTGGGGAGAATGCTTGTGTGTGCAATTGGCAGAGGTTTCCATGTTAAAGCCAAAGTCACTGTCTTTTGTTTT